CCCTCTGGGCAGCTCTGTCTATGGAGTAGCCATTATTTTATTCCTTTACTTTTCGAATAAACTTGCTTCCGCTTTACTCTGTGACTCATCCTGAATTCTTTCTTGCATGAGATCCAAGAACCCTCTCTTGGGGTCTGGATCAGGACCCCTTTCCTGTAACAAATGCTTATATCAAAAAAGCATAAAGATTTCAAACAAGCTAACAATGAACCACAAGGAGCTAGAAAAGCGACACTAAATGAAACCCAAAATTAGTAGACAGAAAGAAAGATCACTCCAATTTTTCTGTACACAAAAAGAAGAAAGGAAGGAGGAGGAAGAAAGGAAGGAGGACGAAGGAAGGAAGGGAGGGAGGGAGGGGGGAGGGGAGGGGAATGGGGGGAGGGGAGGGGATATAAATTGAGATTTAAAACAATACAGAAGATAAACAAACAAAAACGTTTTTGTGAAAAGACAAACATTGAAAACCTTTTTTCTGGACTAAGAAAAAAAGGAGAGAAGACCCAAGTAAACAAAATCAGAAACAAAAAAAGGATACATAACAGGCCAAAGGAAGGAGCTGACAAATTCAGTTTCTTAGAAAGAAAAATTCAAAAGGGACTTATGAACAGAAGCCATGTCTGTATCTCTGGTGGTAGCGAAATGGCTGACCCCAGTGCCATTACCCCCGCCAGACCTGAGGCTTATAAACATAGGGAAAGGAGTGATTCAGAAAGGATTTGTAGGACAATTAAAGGATGGACAAGGAAAGCGTGGCACGTATCCACCATGGAATACTATGCTGCCATAAAAAACGATGAGTTTGTGTCCTTTATAGGGACATGGATGAATCTGGAAACCATCATTCTCAGCAAACTGACACAAGAACAGAAAATCAAACACCGCATGTTCTCACTCATAGGGGGGTGTTGAACAATGAGAACACATAGACACAGGGAGGGGAGCATCACATACTGGGGTCTGTTTGGAGCGGGGGCAAGGGAGGGACAGCGGGGTGGGGTGGGGAGGTCAGGGAGGGATAACAGGGGGAGAAATGCCAGATGTAGGTGATGGGGAGATGGAAGCAGCAAACCACACTGCCATGTGTGTACCTATGCAACAATCCTGCATGATCTGCACATGTACCCCAGAACCTAAAGTACAATTAAAAAAAAAAAAAAAAGAATGATAACCAGGTTGTTGGACCGAAGGGCAGAATTTACTGCTAAGTACCTATTTTTACACAAGGAACAACAGATAAACCTCTTTCACTAAAGAGGTGAAAGATCTAAACAAGGAAGCCTATAAAACACTGGTGAAAAAATTAAGAAGAAACAAAAAAATGAAAAGATATTCCATGCTCACAGACTGAAATAATTAGTATTGTTAAAATGCCTATACTATATTATCCAAAGCAATTAACAGATTCTGCAATCCCTATAAAAATACCAATGGCATTCTTCACAGAAATAGAAAAATAAATTCTAAAATTTATAAGGAACCACCAAAGGACCCTGTGCCAAAGAAATCATGAGCAAAAAGAACAAAGCTGGGGACCTAACACTACCTGACTTCAAAATGCATTATGAGGCTGTAGTAACCAAAACAGCACGACATTGGTATAAAAACAAACACACAGACCAGTGGACTGGAATAAAGAACCCAGATATAAATACATGCATTTCCAGACAACTCATCTTCAAGAAAGGCATTGGGAACATACAATTCGGAAAGCACAGTTTCTTCAGTAATAGTGTGAGGACAGCTGGATAACTATACTCAAAAGAACGAAACTAGATCCCTATCCCTCATCACACGCAAAAATCAAAATGTATTAAAGAATTAAATCTGAGACATGAAACTGAAACTGCTAGAAGAAAACATTGGGGATGCAGTCTAGGACACTTGGTCTGGACAAAGATTTTCAGATTAAGATCTCAAAAGCACAGATAACAAAAGCAAAAATAGACAACTACGATTAATCCGCTAAAAAGCCTCTGTATGGCGAAGGAAACAACAAAGTGAAGAGACAAACCACAGAATTGAAGAAAACATTTGCAAACTACCCATTTTACAAAGGATTAATAAAAAGGATATACAGTATAGAGAGTGCAAAATAAATACAATTATAAAAAACAATCTGATTTTTTGTCAAAAGATCTGAACAAACATTCATCAAAAGATGACAAACCTTTCTCAGAAGATGACAAACAAATGACCTATATAGGTATATGCAAAAATGTTCAACAACTAATCATTAAGGAAATGCAAATAAAAACCATTTTAAATGAGATATCAACCCACTCCAGTTAAAATGGCTACTATCAAAAAGACAGTTAATAACACATGCTGATGAGAATGTGGAGAAACCGGAATGCTTGTACACTGCTGGTGGGAAAATAATTAGTACAGACACTATGGAGAACATCGTGGAGAGTCTTTAAAAAACTGAACATAGAACTACAATTTGATACAATTCCACTACTAGGTACATATGCAAAATAAAGGAAACCAATATATT